ATAGACATGCATACTAATACTCAAATGCACATACAATAGACACAAAAAACATACACAGATGCTCATCAACTTAAAATGGGGTTACATCCTGATATATCCATCATAAGTTCAAAATATCACAAGTTGGAATGCATTTAATACACCAAGCCTACCAAACAGCATAGGTTGGCAAATAGTAGGTTATAGAGTATAACTTCTGAAGTATAATATAAGCCTACTCTGTGGGTTGTTTACCCGTGTGATCATGTGGCTGACTTGGAGTTGTGGCTTATTGCTACTGCCCAACATTGCAAGAGAGTATTGTACCACATACCAGGAAAAGATCAAAACTCAAAATCTGAAATACAGTTTCTATTGAATACATATAGCTTTCGCACCATCTTAAAATCAAGAAATCATAAGTAGAACCATCGTTAATTCAGAACAAACATAACCACACATACACTCACTTTTATACCTGTACTATATGTGGACACAGATGACATACATACATTATGTGTGCTCACACAAACACACACACACAACACACACATAATTTTTGTGGTACTTTCTGGATGAATATCTTAGTACTTTACTCCCACATTTTCATCTAAAGCATTCTTTGACCCTTTTCAGTCTGAAATTTATCTGGTCTATTTTAAAACTCTTTTTTTTTTTATCATTTCTTCCCTTGTTATAATTTGTTTTCTTCCACATCTGCTTGTTTTTGTTTCATTTCTGCTGTGTGTCACCATTTCTTTTCCTTTTATAGTGTAAGAATTCCTTTATTTAGATTTTAGAACATTTGAAATACTTATTTTAAGATATGTCAGTGTATCATAAAACGAATAGCACTCAGAGAGGGTTGGGTTCATATATTTCTTAATGTGTCTTTTGTATTTTTCTTAAATAAATAGGTCTGTCTCCCTCCCTCACACACACACACACACACACACACACACACACACACACACACATGCTCATCTATTTCCGATTGAAGGTTTGAACTTATTTCTACTTGACCCTGCTTGATCCCAACTCTCCCCTCTTTAAAGCCTGTCATTTATGTTGCTCTTTTCTGATTCACAGTGATGGCTCTAAAATAATATCAGAGATAATATTAATGTAGGTGCTGACATAGTAGGCAGCTTGGTTGAGTTCTTGACCTCAGGATTTAGTCATCTCGGGGCCCTAGGTCCTAGTTTTACAAGCCTGCAGCCCGGGCTAGTGAGTTGGTCTTTTCACAAGCAACCACAGCTCATGCAAAACCTGCTATGAATCAGTGCACCTTATCCAGGTCATTCATCTGGTGGGATAATTCAATTAGTTTTCTGCTGCTTTTCTTCAAATCCTGCTTTGATCCACCCCCCACCCCATTGTTATTCTACAGGGATGATTTCCCCATTTGTAAGCCAAGATGTCTTTGGCAAGCTGTGAATGCATGCTCTTTTCCCCTACATCATCCTTACTTTCTGTCCTGGAATAAGCAAGAATGAGGAATCAGTGCAGCCCCTCATCAGTTGCATTTACTCCTTGTTTTTCCCCACAGCTGAGTTGGCCACATTAATCCAGTCTTCTCTGTGTTCTGTTAAACAAGTCCTAATCACTCACTTTCTCCATGATGGTACTCCCTAGAGTAGAGTAGAGTGCTGCTTGAACAAAGTGTGGTCTGCAACCAAGCATCATCAACATCACCTGGGTCATATTTGCAGATCTATCCTACAACTTCTGAATCATATCCTGAAAACAGAGCCTAGGAATCTGATGTAATAAGCTCCCCCTGTGACCCTTAGCATCTATTCAATTTGAGAAACACTGTCTAGTCAATATGGGTAGCTTACTTTTGGGTTGCATATTAGAGCCACCTGGGGTGCTTAAAAGTGGTGATTCTAGAGCTTTACTCCAGACCAATTATATCAGAACATCTGGAAGCACAACATTTTTAAATGCATTGTACAGGGAGGGTTGAGAACCCCTGCTCTAGTCAAGGGTTTCTCAACTGGATGATGTTGTGCCCTCACCAGGAGACATTTAGCAATGTCTGAATACATTTTTGTTTGTCATAACTGAGATGGTACTGCAGACATCTAGTGGGGAGATGCTGCAAAACATCTTGCAGCGACTGGCATATTTTCCTATAACAAAGAATCATCTGACTCCAATGTGATAGTACTGAGGCTGGGAAACTCTTCTCTAGTTCATGTTTTTGGTTTTGCTATTCCATTTAAAATGTGCTCTAGTAAAAACATCTTCAGGGAAAGCAAAAGGGGAGATGCAAGGGAGGAACACAGAGGGAATTTTACTTTCAAGTTGTAACTCAGAAGATGTGGTTGAGATCTGACAATCAGGCTCCTTGGGTGATGCTTCTGACAGCTAAGCATTGGGACCTCCCAATTCTTTCTTTCTTTCTTTAATAGTAAAACAGCTTTTTTTATTTGTTAATATCACATAAGAGGTTGAAACATGTTACACTCTTTTTAAAAACACAACTAATGTATTTTAACAGAGAAGCCCCATTTTCCTCAGGAATTAAGAATCTAAGAAACCATAAAATAATGTTTTGTGGAATCCGTCATCCAGAGTGTTAACATAGGATTAAGTTAATATTGCCTTCTTGAAAATTTTCTCTTTTCCTTAAAAAATTTTTTTTGAACCTTGATTGCTTATTACAGTACAAAAAGTTCAGTGCAAAAGTTCAGTATATTGAAAAATGGTTACCCCTCCCTCACAGCATTGTTACTTATAGCAGAAAGTAATCAAGAGCAGATTGCTAATCTAGATGGAGCAATCTTTAAATTACACCCAGACACACAGTGGGTTTATTTTCTCTCCCTTCCCCTTCTCATAGGAACTTAAAGAAAACATATATTATACATATTAAAAAAGAAAAAAAAAGCCAAAATTTTTGAGGGAGCCTTTTAGTACAGTGTCAATAAATTCGTATCTTGCAACAAAGTGTTATGGGTATGATTTCTTTTACAAAATTTCAGTGTTAAAAAGGAAATTAAGTTCGTCAGATTTGCAGCTTAAAAATTCACATACAGGAAATATAAAAATATTCTGTGCTTCTAAGAAGACTCTGCAGTGTATATAGGTAAGAATTACCATACATGTTTATCTTGAGGAAGACAGTCAACTGGAGAAGTTTACATAATTGCCCAGCTTCTACTGAATGCTCTTGAAGCTCTTGGCTGATGGAAAAGTTCTTTCTCAACAGTCACCCTGGTTGGTTCTTCCTTCTCTTCCTCCTCCTCTTCAGGTGTGGGTTGATTTAAAAATTTTGCTCAACCTTTCCTTCCTGAGAATTTTTCAATATAACTTTCAAGTCTTCGCCCGTGCCCTAAGAATTCTGGTTCTTCCAAATGAGGTCAGTGGGAGGACTGGCTGTGACGCCAGTATTTGCAGCCCAAATTGCCACAGTCCGGCCTGCCTTCAGCACATATCTGGAGGCATATTTGTAAGTGACTGATGTGTCTGTAATTTTCCTGATCATCTCCCAGCCTCCCCTTGGTGGATCCTGTTCAGAAGCATTCATCAACTAAATACATTTCCCATCTACATCTCTCTCTTCAACACACACATTCCCAGTGGCTGCAGTGGAATGAGTGACGCTAACACCTCTGCAGACCTCTGATTCTTCCACATCAACTCTCTCCCTCTTTCCTCTAGCTGTGCCCACACTGCGACTTGAGGAGGCTGGGGACACTCTCACACAGGAAGAAGACCACGTGGAGAGTTTCAACCACTCTTTCTCTCCTTCTAAGAGTTTCCTACAAGTGATGATTTTCATGTCCAGGTCTAGCTTAACAGGAAGAAGTTATTCATAATCATTCAGCTTTTGCTGCATCTGATCCCTTATTTCTGCCTCCCCCACCCCCCATCAGATAGCTTGTGAGAGGAGTTGTCTCTTTTCTTTAGCAAACCAGTCCTCCAACTCTTAACTCATTTCCAAACATGCTCTAGACTCTTTATTGTAGATTAGAAAGTTGAGATGAAAGGCTCTCCATTCTCACATGACCTTCCTTCCGTTCTTCCTTGGCACTGTTGACAGTGGAAGTATCAGTCTCTGAGGACAGTCGGAGGTTCTCAGGTTTGGCATGGAAATCTGTTCAGCCTCTTCCTTGTACAGCCTCACTTACACATATTGCTCTTTTGTCTCATGAAGGGCTTGAGCCGGCTTGTATTCATACTGGATCTGACGCCCAGAATCACCTCTGTCAAGCACGTTTCATGCTTTCTTCTTGTCTCATCAATCTCCTCTTTGTTCATGTTTTTACAAAACTCCAAGTCCTCCTCCGTAAGGCTCTGACGAGGATTCTCCAAATCCACTTCAAGTGAAGTTTCATCTGCTTGTCTTTTGGCAGCCTCTGAGAGGCTTCCACCGGGAAATCTGATCCTTCAAATCCTCTGAATCTCCCTCTAAACTTTTTAAATCACCAACTGCAGTGGCCAGAGCTGTGTCTTTAGACCTCAGTGCTGCTTCCTATTCTCGAAGCTTGCTCTGGGCTCCATTAAGATCAGATTCTTTCTTAGCATAAATTCTATCACTGTTAGTAAACTTTTCCTAGTTATGAACAGCATATTAGATAAGAACAACTTATAGGTGGAAAATTTTATTTGGGGCTCAAGATTTCAGAGGTTCAATCCACAGCCCACCAACTCCATCGCTCTGTTTCAGAGAATGAGGAAGAGCAACATGGCAGATGGATGTGGCGAAGGAAAGCTTCTCCCCAATTCTTCCTTGTGGAAGTTCTGAGATTGGACACAGCCTGACAATTAGGGTTAACCAATAGGAGATACAGAAAAAAGAAACAGAATCTTAGGACACATTTTCTGTATTCAAATTTTAGTTAATTGGTTATTTTGTATTTTTGGAAACATAAAATATAATGTTTTCCCCTTTTTATTATTAATTAATATATTTGCCTAGTATCTATTCTCTTAGAATAACCATATTAATTTGCCCCAATATACACATAATTACAATCATTATATTAATCATTTGGTTTTATTTTTTACAGCAAAAGGAGAAAAAATGAGTATGAGATGGAGATTCAATCTTTGCTTAAAATGAAAGCAAAGAATGAAGAGTTTCTCAAATATCTCTACAAGGAGGCATATCACATCGGTTCTCATTTCCATCTAGCCAAATATAGAGTAGAAGATTTAGAAGACAAAATAGCAGAAGCGAGAAGAAAATTCAAGGTTGTATATCTTTATATATTTTTTAATTGTGAAAAAAAGTCATTAACCTGAAATTTATAAAGTTATTCTTGAGAATTAGATTTAATTTATGGGTTAGTAGGTTTTTTTAAAAAAAATCATTTCTGATAAATAAGAAGAAAATCACATCTTGGCAGAAACCCAGCTTACATAAAGGATCATGAGAGTTTCAGTGTAGCCAGTCAATATTTGCTATTAATTATAAACTACTTGGAGCACCAGGAGTGTGGTGCTTGGTTCAACTTCATCCTGTATGTCTAACACATAATAATTCCATCTATGGTATGAGCAGGATATTCTGAGATGTGCCCTTGTATAACATAAGAATAGGGAGTACCTACATCAGGCTTCCGAGTTACTGATTCCAGAGCACCAGGCAGTTTGTAGATCACAGTGCTGTAAAAAGAACTGCCCACATGCTTCAAATCCACTCCTCACTGAGCAGAATGAATAGTTGCCCCCTGCCATCTTTTGCAAAGTCAGCCCCACTTTTCTGAAGCTGGGGGACCACTTCAGGATAAAAAAAAACAAAACACAAAATAACAACAACAACAACAAAAAAAAACTTTAACAATTCACCCAATTTACTTCTGAGTTTGTCTTCTGACAAATGTGATAAATGTGTAGATTCTAAATAGCCCATTGAAAGTAATAGTAGCTATTTGTTGAGGGCCTAGTAAGAGTGATGCCTTGGGTAAATTACTTTCTCCACATTGTCTTTTCGTGTAAAAGAACATGTTGTTATTCCAGTTTCTCATATGTGAAAACTAATATTTGATAATGATCAATATCTATGGATATACTAATTCATATGTGTTGAAGTGTCCAACTCAGTGTAAACCAAACTTTTCTGGGAAGTGATTAATTAATATAGATGAGTAACTTTAAAAATATTCATAATTTGTAACTGTAACATTACTCAAAAATAAAAATCTTAAAAAAATATCCAGATAGCAAAGATAAACAAAGTCAACAAAGATAAATGCTTAAAGATATTTATAACTGGTTATGTTGCCAATAGCACGGTTCTTGTCCCCAAAGCCAATCCAATAATGGGGGACACAGTTTTGAGAAAAAGGAAAAAGAAGGTGTATGGCTTTGCTAGCAAGGAGAAACACAGGGGAACTCCTATTCCAAAGGCTGTCATTCTGCCCATCATGGGGAACAGGGTTTTTTGTTTTGTTTTGTTTTGTTTTAAAAAGGTGATTTAGAGAAAATGAGATTAGGGAGGAGAGACCAGGGAGGAGAAGGTTAGGGAAAAGAATAGCAGAGAAGCTCTAGGAAAAAGAAGATCAGGGAGGAGAAGATCAGGAAGGAGAAAGTTAGAGAAAAGAAGATCAGGGAGAAGAAGGTTGGTAAAAGAAAGAAAACATGTGAGTTTCTGCTGGGAGCCAAAACTTAAAATAACGCTTTTTACTCTAAACTTTTTAAATTTGGATTCATCAGGACTTAGTGCTGCGGAAAGGCATATGTATCCAAATTTAAAAAGTTTAGAGTAAAAAGCGTTATTTTAAGTTTATCTTTGGGGGATATATACCCCCTTCCAAGTTTCAGAGTCACAAGTGATATAGTCAAAGCATCAAGTGAACCCCTGTTAACAATTATACAGTAACAGACTATAAAAATAATGTAGGTTACATAATAATATAATAACAGAAAATAAAGTCCATGAGGGAAACAACATAGCCTATCTTGTGCACACTGCTGCATTCCCAGGGCTTAGAACAAAGCAGATAACAGAGCTTTATGGAAATGATGAATATGTTGTTGAAATGTGGGCTAGGAAAGTTTAAATAAGAAAATAGTAGAAGAGTGGTTAAATATATAAGGATAAATTATAGATGAATTCAAAGTGGGATTTCTAAAAAATCAATGGGACTTCTGCTTTATTTTAGTGGCTGTAGAAAGATCTTAGCTTGAGTCTCCCAAAGATAACAACTTCAAACTCAGAACCTAAAAAAGAAGTGACACCCAAAGGTCACAATGAATACATATGGGTTTGGGGATTCACACTACTTTAATTGATGTAACTCTTTGTAATTTAAAAACATTTCTACAAAAGCTCCACGTGTAAATAAAAAAAGAAAGAGATATATTTTTATATCTGAGAGAAGCTTGGTCACCAAAACGTGTACCAACAACACTCCCTCAAAGCCAGAGCTCCCATGTCCCAGGAATTCAGTGCAGGCCACAGTTGTTCGCAAAAAATCTCACGAATTTTCTTTTTAAGATTTCAATTTTCTTTTATGATTTCTTTTAAATTTTCTTGTAAGATTTTAAGATTTCTCATTCTTGATTTCAACCTTCCATGAGTGTTCCAGCGTTTTTCTTGGGGTTTCTTTGTCTCTGGAAATAAACGGATGCTATCTCCTTGATTCCAGCTGAGCTCTGTTTATAATTGGCGTTGATTCCCTCTTTTCTTTTCAAATGTGTTTCCAGATAAACAAGCACTGCCTGAGCCATCTATTCTTCAGTGTCTTTTCCCTAATACAGGGAGTCCCTTCCAATAGAATGGCTCTCTGCTGCCACCTTCTGGTTTCTGCCTGCTAAAGGCCAGGCAGCAACCAGGTCAAAGGTGAGGTTTCAGCTTGAGCACTTTCCTGCAGCAGAACTGTTGTCATTCCTATTCCCCAGGCTCGATCTTTGGATCTCTTTTTATTCCTTTTCTTCAAAACCACAGTGGAATATTTGTGACAGAGACCTGGGGCTGGAGGAGCTTAAAATATTTACTCTCTCACCCTTTACAAAAATGTTTTTGAATCCTCTGCTCTAAAGAGTTCACTAATAGCAAGTGTGGGAAGCAGTCGCTGCCTCCAAGGCTGTGAGGAAGCCCAAAGAAGGAATGAGAGTGGAAGAGGCTGCCATTTCCACAAAGCTGAGTGAGATCTTACTGCAGAGTGCATGGCGGTGTCTCCATCTTTAGCCACCTGGCAGTGTTGGACAAATTTGATGGGAATGTCTAGGCAGAGAACCTCACCAGAGAGCCAGGGCCACCAGCTCCCCATGCACCAGCTGACAGCAGTTCTGCAGGAGGAAAGAGAATAACAACAGTCCACTGGGACAAGGAGGTGGAGTCCCTTGCTGTGCTTTGTATGTCCTTCCACACCCTCTGCTGAAAAAGCCTAACTTCATTTTAGCTGGCAAAAGAAATGGTTCACAGAACCATCCAGCTCCATGTTGCAGATCACAAAGTAGATTTGCTGAGAGCTGTGGTGCACACTGTAGTACGTTCAAAGCCAGTCGCAATAACTTAGTGAGATCCTGTCTCAAAAAATAAAATAGAAAGGTCTGAGGATATAGTTCAGTGGTAGAGCATCCCTGAGTTCAATCCCCAATAGTGGAAACCAAAGAGTGGATTTGGAGCCAACAATTTTTAACAAGCACAAATATGTGGACGTATGCAAATTTCTCTAATCTGATGGATTGTTATTACAAATGACACCAGGCCTACCATTTATCTGTTACAACATTTTTGACTTCTTGACTAGTAGAATTTCTTACATTTAAAAAAAAAATTGTCTCTTTCATTTCATCGGCATTTTTTTAGGAGTCGAGGCCAGTTACTTGGAGGAATTTCAATACAGATTCATCTTTTTGTTTGCTCATGATCTGATTCGGGTCAAGCACTTTGGTAATCCAAATTAGAAATAGTAATCAATAAATGGATATTTTAAGAATCTGAAACTTTTTCCCCCACCAATTATTCTCCCAGTAGACTTGGCATCTGTGAATTATGCATAGTTGAACCAGTTATTTGGAACAGTTGTGACATGGCAACTTTTCTGGGCTCTCATTCCCTTTACAATGAATTGACAGTTTGAAGAACTCAGAGGCAGGGCACAAGTTAGGCCACAGGCCACATTGCTGGAGAAGGCAGCCTTCCTTCAGATCCAATCCAGGCTCCTACTCTAAGAATACATGTTGCTGCAATCCTAAGTCAGGATCCCTCTCACAATCACTCCCACTTCCCCAAGTGTCAAGAAAAACATCTCAGAGACCTCACTTTGCCATCTATTCTCAAGATGCTACTTACAAATGAAACTGTGGATTATGATGAGTGGGCCCTGAGTTTCTCATACTATAAGACAAGACAAAACAAAAACAAAAGACAAACCCAACAACAACATACTGTTGAGTTTGAAAGAACCTGAAATTTTTAATTTAATTTCTCAATCTGGAGATCCAATGCAGGCAGTTTGTTAATCATGAACCTATCTTTCAATAAATTATCCATTCAACAAATATGTGCCACAGCACTGGATGCTGAGGAAAGGGAGGAGGGAACTTGCTCTGAAGTGCTATGGAGAGTGTACAAGCTACAGCATCAGGGTCCTTGGTGCTGATAGTCAATGTGACAGACAAACTCTATGACCTTAGTGACCTCAAATTTCTCATCTTAAATTTTTTTTTTTATTATCTACACATGACATTACAATGTCAAATTTCTCATCTTTGAAACCAAATTATAGTAGTTGCTACAGTTAGGATCTTGAATGTCCCCAAAAGGCCCAAGTGTTGAAGACTTTGTCCACAGCATGGAGCTATTTGGAGATGGTAGAATCTTTAGTAAGTGGGGTCTAGTAGGAGCTCTTCGGGTCACTGTGGGTATGCCTCCAAAGAGGATTGTGGGACCCCAGTCTCTTCTTCTTTCTCTTGTGTTTCCCAGCCACGAGATGAGTGTTTTGTTTTACCATATGATCTCACCTTGATGTACTGCCTCACCATAGGTCTAAAAGCAAGGGGTCAACTGATCATTGACTGGAACCTCTGCAAACATAAGCCAAAATGAACTCTTTTCTCTTTATAAGTTGATTATCTCAGACATTTAGGTATATGTTATAGCAAGGGGAAAGGTAACACTGTAGCTATATCACTAAATGAATATGATGAACAACTTACAGATGCACTAACATGCACACATGCACACATACAAGTAGCCCTATATTTGCACAGCACCATGTTAATTGAAATGTTTGCCCATCTGAACCTGTCCTCATTTTGTATGAACCCAGTGTGAACAAGTTGCCATTGATATAGAGTCCTATGCAGCAAGAGCTACCTTTATATACAAAAAACTCTGGTAAAGGGTCTGGGATATAGCAACTTCTCAAAAGTGGCATCCATAATATTAATTCAGAAATGCCTTTTATGGCTACTGTAGCTCTGGGGCACTTAATCACTGAGCCACATCCCAGGCACCCCACCCCCTGTTTTCATATTTTTAATTTAGAGACCAGATCTCACCAAGTTGCTTAGGGCCTTGCTAATCTGATGAGGCTGGAGTTGAACTTGCAATTCTCCTGCCTCAGCCTCCTGGTCTCTGGGATTACAGGCCTGCGCCACTGTGTCGATTGGTTTCTGACAAAGGTCAAATGTGAAACTGTATTTTGGAATACAATATATTTTTCTCCAGATTATTGAAACATTTTGAAATTGTGTTCCCTTTGTATTAAGTATTTAATAAGTAGGTAAACTCTGTCTCTTATTATATTAGAAGGGACTTGTAATTTCTTTTTTAAAATTTTAATTGACTTTATTTTTTTTTAAATACATGACAGTGGAATGCATTATAATTCTTATTACACATATATACCGCAATTTTTCATATATCTGTTTGTATATAAAGTATGTTGACACCCAATTCATGTCTTCATATATGTCCTTTGGATAATGTTGTCCATCACATTCTACCTTCCTTGCTAATCCCCTGCCCCCTTCCTTTCCCTCCCACCCCTCTTCCCTATCTAGAATTCATCTATTCCTCCCATGGTCCCCCTCCCTACCCCACTATGAGTCAGCCTCCTTTTATCAGAGAAAACATTTGACATTTGTTTTTTGGGGATTGGCTAACTTCACTTAGCATTATCTTCTCTAATGCCATCCATTTACCTGTAAATGCCATGATTTTATTCTCTTTTATGTGGGGAAAATGGTACACTCATACATTGCTGGTGGGACTGCAAATTGGTGAAGCCAATATGGAAAGCAGTATGGAGATTCCTTGGAAATCTGGGAATGGAACCACCATTTGACCCAGCTATCCCTCTCCTCGGACTATACCCAAAGGACTTAAAAACAGCACACTACAGGGACACAGCCACATCAATGTTTATAGCAGCACAATTCACACTAGCTAAACTGTGGAGCCAACCTAGATGTCCTTCAGTAGATGAATGGCATATATACACAATGGGATTTTACTGTAATTTCTTTTAAATTATCAAAATACATTATTGTATTTGTTTTGGTTGTAGATATGTTCTTAGGTAAAATGTATTGAAGTTATTGATTTACTTATCACCTTGATGTTTATTCTTTGGAATTATTGTTTTATTTAGAAAAGCATAATCTTAATGGGTGGATGTAAAAAGAGGAGGAAGAATTGGAAGAAAAGCCCTACATGCTTGTTTCCTTATATTTTCCATAGGATGTGATAATTTCAGTAATGAATCGGAAATTAGAGACATAGTTAAACCTCTCTTTTCCACTTTGCAATGCTATATCTTTTTTGAATCTGTAGGATAGCCTAAGTTTAGGCCAACTTCTCTCTAAAATAAGGCATTCCAAGATATAAGCCTATAGTAGAAGGAACTTTATGAACTACTTCCCACTTGGGGTTTGTGTGATAATTTAAAGCAAGACTATAATAATTTAAGAAAGTTTGGAGAATCTGATCACATTTTGCAACCTTCACAGTTGAATTATATTCATTTTGTTTTCAAAGTTGAAGGTGCTCATTCTGAAAAGTAATATTTAAAAGCAATTTAATAGTTTTTTTTTAAAGGAATTTATGACGGTCTAGATTTTACTTTGGTTATTCTGAGATTTATTTTTAACCTCAGAACTCTTCAGGTATAAACCGAATGAAATTCTGTAGTCTGCTTCCTGGTGTTCTCACACTTAATTCTTTTGCCTCAAATAACATCAAGGTTTTCAAATATTTTGCAATACACAAATAATAGTGAACATTTTACTCTCTATGAACAACATAAATGTATCATGTATTTGCAATTATCCTTAAGAATATGTTTTAATAGTCTGTGAGTAAAACTCCCATTTTAAAAAATTTCATGACATTTAGGCTAGAGAAGATTTCTTGAAAAGACGTATCCGAAATCAAATGACTACGGGGATGATAATTCAGGTAATACTCATTTGGTTTCGATATTTCATTCTTTTTTTAATTTGCATTTTACTTAGCATTTTAAATTTGCCTGTAATGAGGCATCTTGTCACTGCTTGGTTTGCAAGCTAGCAGTTTTCTCTCCTTAGCTGATGACAGTTGCCCTCTGTGTACAACTAGCAGTGTCTGATCATGCATAAAGAAACTGACCTCCCATACACATATCTCATTTTGTGGCTTAATGGGAATTTCTGCCAGTCTAGTAAAAGGGCAGTGAGATCTTATTCCTCAGTGTCTAACTCTTTAGTTTGCTTTATGATGATGTTATGTTTTCTTTACTTTTAGTGTCTCTCACATGAATTTCTTGATTTAACCCTCAAAGAAAAAGTACACTATGATATTTACATGTAAAGATTTTGAAAGAAAAGCATGATAACTAGTAAAACGAACTTTAATTTTTTTTTTAAATCTTTATCTAACACCTGAATATCCTTTGGAACTCAGGTCAGGATTTTTGCTTCTAAAATGCTTCTGCCTCGGAAGTACATACATATGTGAAGCCATGATTATCATTATAAGAAAAATAAAACCAAGAGACAAAGCAGTTTAGAATAGTGTTATGTGAATTATTTTTGCCTTTGGTCCTCTTTGAAGCAAAGACACATTTTGTGATTCCTTCTGTTATTTTATACATATTTGATCAATAATCTTTTTTTAGTATTTTCAGACTTTTTGCCCAAGATTTCTTAACATCCTATTTATTGATTGATTTTCTGTGGTCTTAGAAGGTGTAAATTGCCTAGTTCCTATATGTGTTGTCAGGGTATTCTCTAACATATTGTTCCCTCACCCTCATTTAAGTGTTTGATTTTATTGTCTGTAAAATTTTTTCGCTCATTTCTTCTAACAATAGCTGTGCTCTCTTTAAATATACTATACTTGTGCCTATTGCTTTTTATGGTGTAGTCTATTATTTGATTTTCACATAACAAAAAGATGACTACCTGGCTGTGGAAATAAGTGGGTAATTTATTAATTACTGGGCATACATGGAAAATTAATAACAATAAATTATTTACAATTTTGCTGGCAGAACAAAATTTATTCCATTCAAGAAAATCAGTTAATTGAGAAAAAAGAGCTTTTGAAAGAGAGAGCAGTATATGCTCTAGCACTGCAAGAAATACTGGAACCTCTGCTCATACTAGATAATGATTCTGTACAGCTGAAATTGCTCCATGAAGAACAGAGTCAGGTAAGCATTTATCATTAATCCAGAAACTAATTTGCAGGACTCTTTAAGCCCCTAAATTCGGTATGTGTGTTCACATTGTTATTTGGGAAATTATGACTTCACCTAGGAACATCTTGGACACACTAAGTAACTCTTTCGGCAATGCACCACAGATGTACAGTGGAACTGTCTACCAAGACCTATTACTTAGAACCCCATACTCTATCTTACTGTGTATGTAGGAAGAGCAGTTTTCAAATGGGTGAGCAGTGCCTTATCTGGTGCGACTGCCACTGTGGAAAACTTAATTCAGTATCTTCACAGCTTCTTGATGGAACGCTAAAGTTGTATTTACTTGAAAATAAAATATAAGGTGTCTTGACATTCTCATGGTAAATTTTTGATGCATATACAAGTGGAGACAGCTAGGGTGAAAAATAAAGCAAACATTGATAAAATATTTTCAAAACCACAAGTTTATGGCAATAACTAATATTACCAGCCCTTCCCAAAGAAAAATTTACTAGAAAAATATGTATACATTGTATCATTAGTCTTATGGAGATGTAGAGGGTGTGGTAAGAGTTATATATTCTTGTCCTTCCCTGCAGGGAGGATATTCATTTATTTATTCGGGCCATTTTGGCACAAGATTTTTTTTTTCCTTTGCAAATGATGATGTAACTTTATGTTCTCAGTCATAAATAATTTTCAAATTGTTTTTATTTAAAAAATGTGATTTACAAAGCATTGGTAATATAAATGTTTATTTTGATCTTCAAAGCCTTCTGCCCATGAAATAGACAAGGGGCAGTCTGCTTGTATCATAAACTAGAAAACCAGGTTGATTCACTTGTACAAGGTCATAACACATAAGAAATAACAAGTTCTGAGTACTATATACAGCTTGTCAATGCTATCCTAGTACTGATGGAACGATTATATAACCAGTAGAAATGCCTAGTGAGATACATTATTTCAGTAATGGCCCCCCCTTAAGCATTGATGATAGAAATTTATTAATTACATCAAAAGCATCAGTGTAATTGTCTGAGTATGATAATGAATTCCTGAAAAGATTAATGAATTTGTTTCCCTTTAGTTTGTAATAGCCAGGGCTTTTACATCTTCTTGTACTTCAGTGCTCATTTTTAATTTTATTGTATTTTATTAGATAATAAATTTTAAGAACAAGTCATTTGGCACAAACTCCAGGAAAGAATAAGTTTTTGCACACTTCTTAGTAATGATTGCTGAAAATTTGTGCTTTAGACCTTTAATTTTGATAAAGAATCTTAAATATCATAATGAGATCTTATAATTTCTATGAAATTTCATTGTTTTTTTACTTATCTGAAGTGGATTAGATTTTGGTACTCTCAGTTAATACAAATAGAATATTGAGATTTGGCACATCGTATTATATTTTTGTCATTCACGTGCAGGGATTCTTTTGCTCTATTTACTGAAACAAATATTGTCATTATTAAAATAGTCACTTAGGTACTATTTGGTCTAAACTACGAAAATTGAATTGTAAATGCTGTACAATTTAATATTGTAATGTCTTCTAGTTACTGAATGACATAGTTGTAAAGAGGGATTTTGTTAGAAAGAAGGTGGAAAAAACAAAGAAAAAATTACGAAGAAAGGGGAAGAAAACCCATGTTGCACTAATGGAAACTGAGGTAAGAAATGAAATTTCAAAAAGTTTGAATTTACAATTTCTTTGTGTCAATGAAAACTAGTCAGTCAAGTTCAGTGTTATGTGGATGTATTGCGTTTCTCATTTTTTTGCACTAAGAGGACTCTGTGCACATGAGCATGTGTTCTTTTTATCTTTTCCACTGGGGGACCCTGTAGGGGCATTAGCCCCTAATCAGGATAAAATTCAAAGCCAAATTCAAATTGGATTAATGCAGAAGTCTATCGCTTTCTGTAATTGCGATGCATGCTTCTATTGCTTGGAACTTTAAGGAAGAAATTAAAAAGAGAAAAAGCAAAGAAAGAGGAAAGAGCAAAGGGAGGATGGAGGAAGGAAAGAAAAAAAGGATGTTTGTGCTCCTCCAAAATCCATACATTGAAATAATTCCTGGTGCAATGATATTAGGAGGTGAGGCCTTTGGGAGGTGATTAATTCATGAGGGCTCGACTTTGGTGAATGAGATTAATGCCTTTATAAAGTAGGCCCCAGTGAGCTTGCCTACCCCTTTCACCACATGAAGGCACAGCAAGAAGGTGCCATCTTTGAAACAGAGTGGCCCTCGCTGGACACCACATCTGCTGGTGCTTTGTTCTTGGACTTTCCAATCTCTAGGACTGTATGAAAGAAATTTATGTTGATTACACATTACCTGTTCTAACGTATATTGTTTTAGCAGCCTGAATGTCCTAAAACAGGAAGGAAGAAGGGAAGGAAGGAAGTGAAGAAGGAAAGAAAGAAGGAAGTGATAGGAAGGAGGGAAGGAAAAAGGAAAGAAGAAGTGGAGGAAAAGGAGTTGAAAGGGAACTAAGTAAAAGGCGACATTCTTGCACTTTGATTTAATGAATGGAATCTTCTGTTGTCATAGATCTATTGTTTTAGTTCCAAATCCACCGATCTGATATTTTGAAACTACAAAATTTTACATTAAACATAAATATGCTTATGAACTAGTCACTAGTTTCTTTTCAGATGCAGTACTTTGAATCATTGATGTAATATAGTTACTTTAATATTAACGTATAATATAATTTGGCTATGTAGGTTGATTTTCAAAAAAGTAAAAATATACACAATTCTTAAATTCTAATCCAACTACTAATGTCATTTTTGTCCTTCAAAAATATCTTCACTTAGTCAACTGAAGTCACTTTTTAAAAATTCATCTTAGTGCTGGCCTATATGCAAGGCCTCTATTTAGTTTGTTGGATGAAATAAAAATAATTCACTGTACATGGAAAAATGATACTCTGTTTTCCCAGGGAAAACAGATCCATTGTGTTTTCATTGGTGAAGAAAATGTGGAGCTTAAGGTTTCTAAGTTATGTGACACCATATTGGAACCACTGTTTATGTAAGAGATATCTCATCAGAAGTACAGTTCAAGGCCCAAAAATAATTTTTAAAGATTTGTATTTTAATTTTCATTTCATAAAGGACATTGTGACCTGTATTATCGTGGTATCTGCATAAACCCCCAAGCAGCATTTCTCTTCCATATCTCAAGGGCACTGTAAGCATGAAATGGTTCTCATGAGTTTCTTGAAGTTAGCCTTCATATCTGGTGCATGTCTGTGTGTTTCCTTTTTTTTTTTTTACAGTTGAACATCAAGAATACTTTAAAATATTGGTTAGATAAAAGTAAATCTCCATCTCCATTGGAGATAGAGTTTGAACTCAAATTTAACTGGCAGAGTCAGTATTGTTTTTCGCCAATGGAAGGAGTAGGCTGGGAAAGAGGCACCTAAACATACTGGGAGAAGAGCCATAAAAGCAGTGCAGTACTATGTGAGAGGGGAGGTTTGCTCAGGGGCTGAACTGAGGGAAGAGGGGAAGTCTGCAGAGGAGGTGTTGTCTTATAATGGTGAGAACTACTGATGAATAAATGGGGGTTAAAGTCTTATCTTGCCATAATATGGTGGAGAACAGAGATGTTAATATATTTGAAATACCTAAAGATTAATTAGCATTGGAAGACTTAGAATTATTTCCTCCATCATCATCATCATCATCAACTGATTTGTAAAAATAATTTTTATTAGACTTTATGTTTGCAAAACAAGTGCTCATGTGTTGCGAGCCATCCATGGGTTGTGTGTGTGTGTGAGCTATGCGCATTTGAGCACATGAGGGGACTGGACTGACGTTGCTGCTCTGATTGGGCTGTGAGACGTATGTGTCCTTTTCTCGTGCTCTGCCTATGATCCCACACAGCACCTGACATAGGTGTGACTCTCCAAGATGTCAATCAAACTGCTGGCCAACACATCACCAAGCAAGACTCCACCCTCCAAAACCCGACCCCTGGTTCTCTTGTAATATTACTCCTTTGCTTTATTTGGATGAAATGTTTCATGGAACACCTTTCCCCAATAAAAAAAACAGGGTTCAGGGGGTGCTCACTCTCTTACCTGTCTCTCTTGCCTCCCTTTTGGGGACAGAGACTGAGGAGCCATCACTGCACCCCCCAAAAGGTATTTTCTGTGTTTGTGGGTTTTAGTTGCCAGCCCAATTCACAGGGAGTGAACTTGATTCAGTCGCGTGTAATGACACTCATGAGCCTTGTTACCTAAATTGATAAGAAGTTACTATTTGTTTTTAATTTTCACACAGCCAATGTAAATTGTGTCTCCTCCTAAATTGTAAAGATTTGAAAATTTAAATATTTAAATAAAACATCCCTGCATTTTTTTTTTCAGGATAAACGTTCAGCAGTTTTTGAAGAGTTAGAGTCAACTAAAGACAAAACGAATGCTTTTAATGTAAAAATAATTGATTTGAAAATAGAATTAAAAGAACAGGAACAGGAAAATTTAGATTTTGAAAAGAAAATCGAACAGTTAAAGTAAGTAAATTTGATCCAAATATTAACCGTATTTACATATTATTGATAGAAGAGATAAAATTCATATTTAAATTTTATTCTTAAATTGGTCTACATTTTCCATTATAATTTTATGTTGAATACACATGTGATATCCATTCTTCATGACTCCCTGTATTTATTACTTTACGAAAAATTAGGGATGTTTCTTCTTTTCCAAGTATATGAACTTTGTTCTTTATGATAGGCTTTTATTCTCAGTATTAAATATAATAAACATTCTTATGTAATAAATATTTTTTATTTCTTAGTATTTATGTGCTAGTCTTAATAATTTATGTTTTTTTTATGTAACCATTTTTTTATTAATGTTCTGAGGTAAAAATTTAGGAATAGATACTCTGTAAAGCCTCACAATTCAGTCACACAATTCTCAAAATCTTCTTATTCAGTCACCTTGTCAGTTGGGGATAAACCCGGCCAGGGGTAGTATGGCTGACTTGGAGAAGGATTATGCTCCAAGGCTCACAGGGTGTCCATGGACTCTCACCTGGAAGTCATGTACTCTTCTATTCTTTTTGGTTCTTGTTTGCTGTTTTTATAAAGCTTTAAGAACTGGGCTTAGAGAACTATTGGAAGTATATATGCCAGTCATATTTAGGAATGACAGTTTGATTTAAATATAGAAGGTTAATATAAACATTAGCACAATCAAATTAATTATTTGAGGGATAAAGACTCTAAAAAAAATGTAAGGCATAGCCTGAACCCATGTACTTTTATGGAGTCAAGTCAATGCACCCAACAAAGATTTGCGTAGCAATAACCATAAGGTTAAAAAACCTTTTCATGATTATACAGTCTTTATCTGAGAGAAACCAAATTACATTCAGTGTATCTTGGAAAAAAACTTAAATTTTACTTTGAAAATTATTTATCTGCATTTTTTAACACCCATAACAATATAGTGGGATTCAAAGGCATAAACCTAAAATTATGTAATTTACACTAAACGTAGGAGCTGATGAAAAATTTTCTTCACTTTTATTATTGTTTTAGCCATAAACTATTCTTCTATACTGTGGCTACATTATAACGCCTTTCATATAACAGTGGTAGTCAGGTCCCAGTAAATCAAATCCCTCTCTAGTCTTGACAAGATTCTGCCTTCCCATAGGCAAAAGAGAAAAAAGATTAAGCCAGTATTGGGGTATTACCTTGAAAACAGTTAATGCAGTTAATGATTAATGTCCATGATGGATAACATCCAAGAATATTTAAATCTACATTGAATGACTTCTTAATGTGCCAGGCACTTTGTTGGGCAATCTATCCCTCATTTCATCTAATTCTCAGAGCAAATTCTTAAATTATACATTACTTGCTAATAAATACTAAGGAAACAAAGACTCAGGAAATTTAAATGACTTTCTTACGATCACAGCGAATTGGTTGGTAGAACCAGCTCCAGCCTAGCTCCATCCTGTTCCAAAGTATGTGTTTTTTTCCAACTGTGCATACCAAGTCTCCTAAACTGGGATTGCCAGGAAAATTGACTGCAGACAAGCTGTATTAGAAGTAATCTATTGCTATTTTCAATAGGTGATCATATCAAATTAATAATTATTTAGAGAACCAATATTAGGCCTTGTCACAGGCCCCAAGAAGGACAAAGAAATGGCAAATGAAAAGTGCACCTTCAAGTGGCTAGAGATTGTTTCAGAGACAAATCTTGCATATGTACGACAATTAAAATGGAATGTTAACAATAATAAACAAAGCTGTCCTTGGCTCTCATTTGATTTTTATAATTGCTTCTTAGCCAGGAAGTAGAAAGATTCAAAACTAGACTCATAAGTACAGAATTTTTTCTCTTTTTATTATTATGAGAAACATGATTTATGTAGATAAATGTATACATATATAATATGTCATATAATTCATAACATACTATATTGAATATACTCTAATCTCAAAACACTTAGTGTAGAGAGAAAAATACACATTTTCAGGATAGAGTAGTGTTTGTTGGAGGCAATTAGGAACATTTTATGTTTGGGGTCATATTGCCTCCTCCAGTATGAATTTATTTTGTTCCCTGAGCTCCACAAGGTCCATATTATTGGATATCTAAATAAGTCATCTCTTAGGAATTTGGGGAGTCGATGATATGAATGAAGAAATGGAAGAAACAGAGCAAGGCAGATGAAAGGGAACTTTATTCCATGTAGAAGAGGCTCTTATATACTAAACGTGAGCAAGGAGTCATGTTTCCAATTTCTATAAACAGCCACAGGGAAGACAGAGTAGTCAGTGTACCACTGCAGAATCAAGCAGAGAAAGACAGACTGGATTTGAATTTTGGTTCTGTCATTTATTTTACTACCTACTTGAAGGATATACAAGTTAATTGTGCGAGTTTAGGTTTCCTCAATTGCACATGGTAATAATGATTATTATTTCATAGGGGTTTTGTTGTATTAAATGATATATTATTAAAAGCACTTTAACATTTGAACCTTTCCAAGAATGTTAGCCTTGCTGCCTGTATAGCTAACCGTGCTAGTGATTTAATTTTCTCTATCTGTTGAAGCATCGGCTAATGTGGGTGACATAAGACTGCTAAGCTTTTGCAGCTATGCTTATTCTGTATTCATGGTTGCTGCTTAACTCTGGCAATTATTTCTTAAGCTTGTTTGTTGTTGTTAGTATTGTTCTAACCACTTTTGGATGCTTTTTTTTTTTTTTTTTTTTACTAGTAGTATTCCATGGTAACTACTGAGTTTACCATCAATGTTATTTTGCCTCTGAGGCAGGATGTACTTAGTTGCAAGACAGAAATGGCATTTACACACACACACACACACGGTTTTGGAAGGAACTACAACATTTTCTCGATGTCTTTCAGCTATAAGATTGGGTATTTTAAAATTTATCATAAACATTTACATGTGAACATTAAATATTGCAACATGAATTGACTTGTGGCACGTGAAATTCTTTCTTCACAGGGAGAACTTTTTAGTTGTAAGATATAAAAGGGAGAATGCACAAAATATATTTGAGCATTTCATGGAGAAGAAAAAACTCTGTGAAGAGAGAATCTTTGATGAAGACAAGAAATTTACAGTGCTCTTTGAAACAAGGCAAAAGACTCTGGAAGATATTAAAGTAAGTATTATTTTTTTACTGTCTTAAGTGAAAGAAATATAGTGGCAGTCAAATTAGCAGTGAATTTGAGACACATTTTTCATGTTGAAGTAGCAAGGATGTTTAGATTTTAAAAATACATTTGTTAGCATAATAAACATAACATTTCATTTTTCTCCCAAGTAATTAACATGTTCATGAAGCATATTGTACTTTTCAGTACCCTCATCTTACTATTGCACTCATTTTATTTGCATTAATGTAAAAACATAGGTTGTATTTATTCTGGAACCATTTTTATGTTTTTAATGGCTATGTGAGAATGGTTCTGTTTGGTTTCTGAATAAACATACTTTGAATATTTACCAACCACTTTTTTGATAAGTGAGACTATTTCAAACTCCTTCCCTTCAGAAAAAAATTTCCATAATATTTTAATGGCACTATATATTTACTTTTTTAAAACAGGGAAATAATATGATAAAAATGTATATTTAACATCCAAATTTTTATCCTTCAAATTTTATAAAGCTGTACGTACTAAATCTTTGTACAGATTGTAACTAAGTTACATATATGTAGTTAAATAACCCCATCCAATTTTAATGTTTTACAATAGTTTTTGTTGCAATTAATTCTAATTTTTTAATACCGTGGGTTTTAAAAAATATATTTAGAAATATTATTTATTTTTGAGAGACACAATGAGAAAATTTCCCCCAAATATAACTAATTCTTCTTTATTAAAACCACTTTCTTCAAAACTTTTTAATATATATGTATAGTCATAATATATTTTATCAGCTATATTTGATCCTGATATTCAATTATGATTTCCTTTCACATATCCAAAGACAATACATTTTAAAAATTTTTGGAATAAATATACATTGAATAAACTCGCATATGAGTGAATAAACATACTGTATTTACTGCTATTGCTATGGTCCATCCTATGGTAAAATTATTAACAAAACTATAGTAGTTTTATTAATAGTGGGACTGAGTAGCATTCTTCCATTTTAAATGTGGTCATTACCTAGAAAGATATTTTTTTTTTTTTGCCTAAAAATATGAAAATAATTGGTGCCATCTAGTGGCAATAAATGATGCCTCCTCTTGGAGGGATTCCTGGAACTCACATGTGAGGGATGAAGAGATTAGGGAAGCTAAAACTAAAAAGCACCTTCCAGAGCAAGAAGATTTGAGCTGTTTACTGACTCGAGCATATTACTCACCTCCTATTTTTTCACAGCAATAAAATTAGTTATTTGAACCCAACCACATTTTCCAGTCATACTGGTGCTGAGAACATAGTAGGACCTCAGTAATAATTTATTGACTGGCATTTCAGCATTTTAGTGGAGCAATGATAACAAATGAAATGGCAAAGCATGGTTATCAGGAGAGCTATGGGGGGTGGAGGGCATTCTGTATAACCAGTTCCTAGATTATTGACATTTGCATTTCTTTTCCTCAAAAAGCCAGTTCTTGCCTTACTACTCCCAAGTGCCCACCCCCAGCCTCCTGGACGCCTTGTGATCTATCCCGCTTGTTTTTCTGAGCTGGTTTTTGTCACTCATTTGTATTTGTTTGTTGTCTGGTAGTCTGCTATAATAAGTATTCTCTAAGGGGGCAGGGAATTTTCTGCCTCTTCTCTACAACCTGAAAGTTCAGAACTATATGTGGCATAGTGGAGACACTCAGTAAATCCACTTGTTAAATGAATGGATGGATGGATGGATGGATGGATAGATAGATGCTTGTTTTGATGATTTTGCCCTCTGCACATATGACAGTAGCTGGAAACAGATATTTTGAAGGTATTTTCCACACTGCACCAACCCCATACTCTGGATACCATACACTCATGCTGTGTATAGATGCTGAGTCCTTCTTTCTGTGTCTCTTAGTCTCTCTCTCTCCTGAATAATAACATGAGAAAAATTTGTCATCCAGTCTTTTCTCTCTATTGAAATAGTTAAATTGTCTATTGATTTCTAGTATTGAAAGATTTTGTGAAAGATCTTAATGCTTTTTATCAAATAGCCTTTACTCTATATGAAGTTGTGTCTTGTCTGTTTTTAGGCTAGGTCTTTCTTATGCATTCATATTATGTGACCCAAAGTACAGAGTTCACTTTATGCGACCCAAACATGCAATGTGTAGTGAATAATATGCTTTATCATTTATAGTGCTATTGATGTATGACTGTGATTAGTTGTTGAGTATTAAATAGTGGAAAGACAGTACAATTCCTCAGAGCAAACCTGATCTTATTCCTGTTTATAAACAGGATTAGTTAACTTCGGAACTGTGTATGTAATGTAAAGCATTCCTGGAAAGAAAAAGTCTGACAAAGGCATCATTACAGTACTAATCTGGGGTGTCCCCTGTGGGTAAAATAATTGATCACGATTATGGATGATCTGTGGATATTTTTTTAATAGAAGACTATAAAAGCCACTATAGAATTATTAAAGGATGTAAGAAAACACACTACTGTATTGGCAATATTAACAGCTAATAAAATAGTTTAAGAAAAAATATTCACAAAGTTGAGATAGCATATAATTCTATGTCTGGAGTTAAATTCAATCTCTCCTCAGTGGACAATTCCTTATCATATTTCTATGGTAGTTTGTTGTTGTTGTTGTTTGTTTGTTTATGTCATGGCATTTTTACTAAGTGCTTATTTGTAAATGCAATTGCTTAAGGTTAAAATTTCATATACCTTATTTGTCCTACTAATACATCTCTAGCTACTATTGGAAAGGTCCATACAGAGCTAGAGCTTGCAGAATTTCAGTCTGTTAAGGCCCACTGCCTTCTCAATGTCAATACCTCTCTCTGGGTGTTCTCTCTCTAGTCTTGCTCTCCTCTCTATGATTTAGGTTATATAGGAGAGGGCTATGATGCAGTGTCCTGGAAGAACAATTTCCATATTAAGTTCCAGATGAGACAATCTTCCAATATTTTCTAAAATTTATTGGTTTTTGTTTTACTTCTTGTTTCTCTCTTTTAGGACGCATTTCTTCCCCTGGCCATAGCAGCCCCATACTTAGCGATCAAATCATTTCTTGACCCTTTTGCACAGAAAATCCTTAGCTTGCAGAGGCAGTGGGTCACTGCCTTACTGGGCAGCCAAGTACTAAAATAGTAAAAATCAGAAACAAATTTAATCTGCGATCATTTTAAAGATGGTTACAACTTTAACTTATTTTCCTATTGTCCACTCATCATTTCTTCATTGTCATACAACTGTTCTGTGAGTACTTCTGTGTTTGAGGCAGTCAGCATTGGATGGACAAAAATCCTAACTTCACTTTGAAAAATTCATCAGCAGGAAGATGGAAGTTGTGAAAACAGACTTAAAAATAGTAACAACATGGGCTGGGATGTGGCTCAAGCGGTAGCGCACTCGCCTGGCATGCGTGCAGCCCGGGTTGGATCCTCAGCACCACATATAAACAAAGATGTTGTGTCCGCCGAAAACTAAAAAATAAATATTAAAATTCTCTCCTTTCTCTCTCTCTCTCTCTCTCTCCCTCTCTCTCTCCCCCCCCCAAAAAAAAAAAAAAAAAAAAAAAAAAGGAATTAAAAAAAATAGTAACAACACTCAAATAACAAACAATGGTGCCCCTTGTCCCCTGCCCGGAAATGTAAGGAGTTATTAAAACACATTACACCTTCTGGGGTCTCAATAGTGGGAAATGAATGTGTAATAAATCTGGAAACTGAAGAGCTCACCAGTAAATTTTCCAGGCAAGAATAATCTTCCTACCACTGAAATGATTTTAATGACACACGAAAATTTTTAAAAATTAGGCACATGGTTTACATTATGTATATTTCTCTTTATTTCTGATGTGACTAAGCAACAATTAGTCACACACAATAATATGAATTATTAGCCTCATGACATTGCTTTTTCAAAATGCCTTATTAAAATCTATGACTCTTGGAGGAATGAATGTTTTTAGTGAGGAGTGGCGGCTGAAGCACTGACTTTGTATCAGAGGGCACTTCATGCTTTTGTTCAGACCTAGGACTGCAGTGATCTTAAGTACTTAGAAATCAGGACAAAGTAGCACCAGGAGAGAGAAGAAGATGGGAGCACAGAATTGGGTGATTCCCAATTATGAATTTAATATATTTTGAATGTTTACTTTGAATGTAATCCATTAAATGAGGAGGAACTTTCTAGTTTTGCATCTCTCTGAAGCACCATGTCCCCTGTTGCTACTATGCCCCAGAATTACTTCTGATAAAATATTAAGGCACTATTTACATAAAATTTGATTTTTTTTTTTTTAGCACTGGCAATCCATTACCACTTACAGTTTTTTAAAAACTACCTAGGGGCATCTATTATAATAGTTGACTATAGTCCATTTCAGTTTTTCTATACATTAGTATTTTTTTTATGTAGTTGTGATACTATTCCATGAACACAGTTCAGATATTTATGATCTTTTTTTTTTTTCAGGTAACCTCCCTTTCCCAGTTTTGCAATGCCTTTCCCCACTTACCAATTAAAATAAGTATATATAGATTTTCCAAACACCAAATTGCATTCTTAAAAACACCTTAATTGATCAGGGTTTATTAAAATTTTAAGACATTACTGGCTTCAATTTGTAATAATTTGATTTAGAATATCTGTTCATCTGCAGTTCTTCTATTTTGTAATTTTTCAAAGAGATTGGTTTCATAGACTTGCTTCAGTTTTTAAAATAAAACTGGAACCCCCCCCTCTCCCCCGATCTATGTTAAATAGCATTGGGTATTTCAGTTCCTTAAAGGTTAGAGAAATTCTCCCATGATGCTATTGAGATATGTGAAGGGGATGAGATTTTACCCTACTTACAAGCAAACGGGTAAGCTTGTCGCAGTCTCAAAGATACTGGTAGAGGACAGGGAACTCAGGCTGAGAGATGGAGGACTCCTACTCACTACACACCAGGTATTGTGATCTTCGGTTCTCATAGGATCCCCTGGGTTTCAAGTGTAAGGGGTGT